CAATTTCCACCTCCAGCGTTCTCTCCTCATTCACCAGCCTGGTGTAATTAAGCAAATGGCACAAAAAGGCTCCATTGAACAAAGCCAAGTCAAGTCGAGTCAAGTCAGCTTTACTGTCAAATATGCTCTTTGTGCAACATACAGCACAGATGAAATTTCTTTCCTCTCAAGGATCGCGATAAATAAAAAAATTTAAAAAATGAGACTCACTTGACATTGGGACATTCATCGCACACCATCTCTTGCGTCATCTGGAAGCGGCCCGGGCCAAGTTGCGTGGTCCTCATCTCCGGTCGACAATTGCATTTCCGCTTTCCGGGCGCCTCTTTGGCTACGGGTTTGTTACGCACAACCTGGCCGCAAAAAAAATCAAGACATTTAAAATAAGAAGTGGAAGATTATTATGGAACTTTTTTGTTTGTTGTATTATGTGTGCCCTGTGATTGGCTGGGAACTAATTCAAGGTGTACCCCTGCTACCGCCCGAAGACGCTTGGGATAGAACTCAAGCATTCTGTTTTTGTGAAACAATTGCAGTGGAATTAAGAGGTGGATTAAATCACTGCCCAACAGAAATGCACCTAAGTCATAGTACCCATAAAAAGCCTACATAGGCATGGTGAGAACATGCCAAGTCAATGTGGGAACTTTTAGTCACCTCTACAAAGTTGCCAGCGTAGACCTCTTCAAGCGTGACCTCCAAGTCAAGTACGATGTCATTTCCTCTGGGGATGTTTCGATCCTGCTGTTGTCGGTTGCCTCCAAACATGAAACCGAAGTCGCCAAAGAAACTACACATCGGGACACAACAATTGTAAGCCAACACTGTCGTATCACCGGTTGGTCAATTTAAAATTTGACCACAATTTCCATGAAAAATATGTCTCAAAGGTCACAGAGGGGCTTCTCCTTTTTTTTTCTGTTTTCAACAAGTGTGATGATTACCATAGAACCCAAAAGTGAAAATTTCTAACAGTCATAAAATCTGAAATTTCAGCAACACTTTAGGGACTAATATGCCTCTAAGGTAGGGTGTCAACCTCAATGTTGTCACAGGCCACTTTGGAGTTACGTCTTCCCTCGGAGGGCCATTATGACAGTGAAACCACACAAATGTTTTATCGTCACATCGCATTATTACTTGTACACAACAAATTAATGATGACTAGTTCTGAAATCATTCTATTATAATAGTTTGTTCAAGTGAGTGTAAACAGGGTAAAAAAATTATTGCAGAATCTCAACGTTATTCATTTCACATGACAATTTGAAATTGCAGTACAGATTTTAGCAAGGCAAATTTGCTTTCCTGGGCCACATAAATGACGTGGCGGGGCAAATCTGACGCTTGTGCTCTCAGGTAAGACACTAAGGGCATTGCGTTTTCTTTTGATTTCTTTGTGTGGAGCTTTTTTTCTTTTTTTAATTCATGTCAGGACAGAAGGGTACCAGACATAAAAAAGAAGACAGGTGAGATAATAAAAGTTTCTGGCTATGCAAGTTTGAGTGGATGCTTTTGTCCTTATTTCTCGTGCGAGGATAGTTTCGCAACAGGTGACGTTCAACCAATGCTGTAGAACGGATTGTTTTCGACTGTAACCCTTGTGCTGCAATTTCTACGATGTTTGTAACACATGGGTTACCCCATATGTTACAATTTCTACAATTTTTGTAGATTTTTGCGTATTGTCATCTTTAAATCAAAGACACAGCATTAAAAAGTGTGTGATATGAAATGTTCCAATTCATGTTTTATTTATATAGATTTATATTTATGTTTTGGTCATAGCACAATACCGCTTTTATTGTCCATAGAGGGCAAAAATACAAAGAATAAAATAAGAACTATATGTGTATGTATAGCACTGATGCCACTGAACATGTCGAGTGGTTGAAAGTGAAATAAATATTCAGGAATAATACTTTTACAATTTTTGTAAAATTGTATGTTGCGTTATATAAACTTATTTAGATCGACTGCAACACATGGGTTAAGCATGGTACACACATACAGATAATCAGACGAAATTTGAGCACTCTGTAGCCTTCCAATGAAAGTCAAACAATTCATGGATGTCTCTGAAAGATTATCTTGACTGATTATAGTGGGTTGCAGGGTGTTTTAAGAGGGATTTTCATCTCCCTGATCTACTAGGGGCTTGTGGCTGACATTTTTCAATACAGCAAACAGGTTTAAGTGATGTATTAATTATGCCACTCAAACAAAAAAAAAAAAAATGTATGCCTCCCAATATTTTTTGTGGTATTGCCATTTTGGGGATACCTCCACAACTTTGTTTTATTTTAGTTCGTGACAAAGGTAGGTTGAATAAAGAATAGAAAAGCATTATTGTGACACGACAAGTACCAATTGTGAATATGAAACATTGACTTAATTGTATTGAGGAAAACAACTTAAAACAAGATATTCGAATTTTTAAACAAGACGAAGTAAAATGTACTCAAGTGTCATGACAGTGAATACAGTACAGATGTAAGATTTACTTTTTGAATTGACAAGTTCGAATTCTACATAAATGTAATAAAGTAATACTATTTTTATGACAGATTCGTCTCAAGAGAATTTTACTTGACACTGGCAAGTGAATGTAACTTAAAATTAAATGACTCAAATTTCATTTAAAAAAATGTGTGAATTGCTCAAGTATATTTTGAGTAAATGTTACAGGTTCTAGTGTGTGTTGGCTATCTCGATTTCACATTTAAAGATGTTGAGATGTTTAAAAACACAGTGGGTTCTACTGTAATCAAGAATCCTGATGTCTATTGTTTCCATTTATGTTAACAGGACCAACCTGGAGAAGATATCATTGTGTGAACTGTGGTGGCCTTCTTTAAGTCCATCTTCTCCGTATGCGTCATACTGTTTCCTTTTCTCCTCATCTGAAAGAACCTGTAAATGAAAAGTCAAGTCAAATTTATTTACATGGTCCCTAATCACACAAGAGCCTCAAAGGGCTTCACACGCCCACAGTTGACGAATATTAACAACGTGTGCTATCTTAACCCCACAGGACAGCAAGGAAAACTTTTTTTTTTAAACCTGGGGAAAAACAAGACCACATGACAACAGAGTGCCAGTCATACCGGTGCAAACCGCAAAACTAAAGACATTGTGACAATAATAAACCTAGGACAGTGTCCATCAACAGAAGGCATTACTGTATCATCTTTGTGAAGTAGAAGTTGTGATGCAGCCATAAATCAATAACATTATAAATATTTCAAAAACGCGAAATCACTTTTTATGTATTTATCTTCCGAAATGTTAAGCCATTGACAGCAGTGCGACTCGAATATTAGAATAACCACAAGACGTTATCGCAAATAACTTTATATTTCGGCAATATCTAGCCAATCCGATGCAGCCACACAGTACAGTTGACCAATCACGACGAGCCTAATGTTTCCACGGGCAACCGATCAGCTCAGCGAATAAAAGCCGTGTGCTCGGGGTCTTCCGGAAGACATTTCACGAAATCTGACTCTTTGTATGAATTATCACTTCTGAAGCTTTGTAGGAAAATTAAAAATGTGTCATACCTCGTAGGCAGCGCCCAAGTCGGCGAATTTATCCTGAGCTTTGGGGTCGTCTTGGTTCCTGTCGGGGTGTAACTGGAGAGCTAGCTTTCTGTAGGCTTTCTTGATGTCCCTGATTGATGCACTCTTGCTCACCCCAAGGATTTTGTAAAAATCTCGCCTACGGGAGAAATACATAAGCTAAAAACCATTCACAAATGTGCATGTACCAACACAATAATCCTGTTGCTGGGACAAAAAGACAAGTGAACAGGCTAGTTTGGTAGACAAATGCATGGGGGTTTCTTACTTACAGAACTAGCTTGTTCCATTTAATGACACAATTAACACCGAAACAAATGTAAAAACAAGAGTAGTTTAGCCTCTTGTGCACTGCACCGGTTGAACCAATCACAGTGGAACATGTGTACCAGCTGGCGATGCTGCGTGAGCGACCATTTCAGCGCAAAACCACTTACTTACCCGGCAAACACTGCAGTGATAACCCAGAGAAGCAAACAACACACACTGTACAGTTTCATCCCTTTGGTCGCCATATATAAACCCCAAAATATATATATTTAACGAAATCTTGAAAAGAAGAGCCGGCTTCTTCTGAAGGTTGTATCCAGCTGCCAGTCACAGGAAAGCCTTTTTTCCGGCTTGTCGAGGAAGTCCCGCCTACCGGGAGACGTGTCGAAACCCCACCCACATTTAAAGAGATATATACCTGTATTCGGGCGATCCTCCACAAAAAGAGTAATCAATAACAATATCTTTTGTGAACCATGTAAAAAACAAACAAACATTTTGCGGGATAATACCGATGAAGTATTGAGAATCACACTTCTTTCACTTAGTTTTTAATCATCCACGCAAATAGCCAATCAAGATTATCAACAAAATTATTAAAGCGTATTCCCGAAAGCGGAAGCCAACGACTGTGTGAACGGCCGAAAACGCGGCACTGAGTGTATGGCTTGTGATGAATTGAGATTCCACACTATATTGTCATTGTGAAGGGAACCGGTTTGGCTCGTATTGTAAATACTCTAGTTTACTTTATTTTGGACAGGGAACCTTGAGCTGGAAACAGATTGTTTCAAGACTATTTCTAATAGTGTCACCGTTTCTAGCATAAATAACATTTTGACGCATTCCATGATATTAATTAATAATGGATGTTGGCCGGTTGCATGGTGGGCGACTGGTTAGTACGCCGGCCTCACAGTGCAGAGGTCGAGGGTTCGATTCCGACCTTCCTGTGTGGAGATTGCATGTTCTCCACGTGCTGGTGGGTTTTCTCCAGATACATGTAGTGTGGTTTCCTCGCACATTATAAAAACATGCATGGCAGGTTAATGGAATGATTGCTGTTGGCTGGCAACCTCTTCAGGGTGTACCCCGCCTCCTGCCCGAAGACAGCTGGGCTAAGCTCCAGCACGCCCGCGACCCTTGTGAGAATAAACGGATTGGTAAATGGATGAATGGATGGATGTACCTAATGACATGGCAACAGAGTGTACTCATTGACGCATGCGCAGCATGGTAATAGGGGCAGCATTGTCCTCCTCTTCGCGAGCAGCGGAGGAGGGCGCCAAATAGGAAGTAGAGCAGAAATGTTCCCCAGCTTGGCTGAATCTCTCAACAAACCTCCGAACAAACTGGTGGACTTCTAACACGTGAATGGTTTGGACCTCTCAACGAGGCGCTCTCCCGGCGAGATGGACCAAGCAGACGTTTGGCCGTCGAAGAAGAGTGAAGGTAAGAGTCGCGTTTGTTAGCCTCGCTTTAGCTCAACTTGTCACTTTAGGCTAAGTTCACGGCGGTGAGCAAGTCTCGTTTGGGCGACAAATGTCCGATTTGATAGTTAGACGCGCCCCTTGTCTCTTGAGACAACACATTCAGGGACCTTCCTGTGTGGAGATTGCATGTTCTCCACGTGCTGGTGGGTTTTCTCCAGATACATGTAGTGTGGTTTCCTCGCACATTATAAAAACATGCATGGCAGGTTAATGGAATGATTGCTGTTGGCTGGCAACCTCTTCAGGGTGTACCCCGCCTCCTGCCCGAAGACAGCTGGGCTAAGCTCCAGCACGCCCGCGACCCTTGTGAGAATAAACGGATTGGTAAATGGATGAATGGATGGATGTACCTAATGACATGGCAACAGAGTGTACTCATTGACGCATGCGCAGCATGGTAATAGGGGCAGCATTGTCCTCCTCTTCGCGAGCAGCGGAGGAGGGCGCCAAATAGGAAGTAGAGCAGAAATGTTCCCCAGCTTGGCTGAATCTCTCAACAAACCTCCGAACAAACTGGTGGACTTCTAACACGTGAATGGTTTGGACCTCTCAACGAGGCGCTCTCCCGGCGAGATGGACCAAGCAGACGTTTGGCCGTCGAAGAAGAGTGAAGGTAAGAGTCGCGTTTGTTAGCCTCGCTTTAGCTCAACTTGTCACTTTAGGCTAAGTTCACGGCGGTGAGCAAGTCTCGTTTGGGCGACAAATGTCCGATTTGATAGTTAGACGCGCCCCTTGTCTCTTGAGACAACACATTCAGGTTTGACGATATGTGAAAGCGTTCGTTTTCGCCGTGGTTTTGCTACAAAGATCTCTGCAATGAGTCAGGTGAAGGTGGCAGCAGTCTGGTTGTCATGGCAGCATAAAGTTCAGTTTTAAAAGTCATTAATTCTCAGTGCAAGGTCTTATTTGGCATCGGAAGTCTTTCAGCAGTATTAAGAAATGTTAGCACATGGTGCCAAGTGGGATTTATGGATTGGAAATTGTAAAAAAATAAATAAATAAAAAATCTAAGAAATAATTGACCCGAATGACTCGTAGTAACATCACGCATTCACAATAGAGGAACCAACAAAAACAGTGATGTGGTCTTAGTTGTGGCTCTTAAGAGCAAATGCATGTAATTTATGGACTGTAGCAACTTTGGGACATGGGCATCGTTCGGAAGCTTGTCTTAAATTTAAACTCTACTGGATTTAACAAAACAAAAAATAAATAAATATATCTACATACACATACATGGAATTTGATGAACCCTGATATCCCCAAAGACATTTACATTCATTATTTAATATCAATTCATTTTCAGTTTTAGTATTGATGTGTATCTTTCACGTTTGCTCAGTGTCAGTTGGCTACATACAATATCAACAATAACATATTTGAAATAATAGATGCAAATGAATTTTTAAGAACTAGTCAAACTGATTTGATACAGTACGTACTCTATTTCCTCAGACATGGATTCAGACAGGGTAAGCATCTGGCCACGTATGGAGCCCTTCCTCCTGGGTGCCCTTCAGGTGAGTGTACACCATCAAATCAAGCATCCAGTTACAAAATAACTCAGGGGTGATCCCTTATCTTAGGTGGCGCCCTCCTCCAAGCTCAGCCTGCACTACCTTCGCAAGATGGCCACCTATGTGCGCACCCGCGATGGCTGCTTCCCGTCCTTGACCTGGCTCATGTGGAGGCACATTGCATGTGGAAAGCTGCAGCTTGCAGAAGACCTAGCATGGCTCTACTTTGAGACCTTTGACCTCTTTACTGGCCACTCACCCGGGGACCGACTGGAATGGGCAGAGTGTCTCTCCCAGTGTTCAAGCAAAAGTGAGCTTGACCAACATAGGAACGAGGTAAAATAAATAGTAATAATTTAAAAACTTTTGTTAGTTTAAACAAAAAGAAAGTAATTATTCTAATGTAATCCTGTACTACCTATACATCCTGGTTCACTTTGAGTTGCGGCCCCAGCTACTTGTGCATTTGTAAATGGAACACGTCTATTTTTAGTCCCCCGATTCCTCAGCTACATTACAGCATCCAAAGCCTATCGTGTATTGTTTTTATTGACTCTTTCTGAATAGCAGCTCTACTTTGCTTTGCTGAACAAGGGGAAAGCAGCAGTACACCAAAAAAACCCCCAACACATACCTCCCTTTATTATTTTTATTAATTTGGTTTATTTTGGGTTACAGTTTGCATCCCTCTAAAAATGGTAGGAAAAAAAGGATAATTTGTGACTTCAACTCCGGAAGCGTGTTACTGCTCATATGGAGCACATATTTTTGACTGGACTATGCCGTTCGGACCTACTGCAAAGTCGTTTAAATGTGTTGGTAATGTTGTAAAAACACTATGGTAATTTAAATCAGAATACAATCATGTATAACTGCTCCATGTGAGGGGAAACAAAGTAGGGAGGATTTAAGGTACTCTAATGCCCCTGCTTTTAGGAAAGGAGAGCCACAAGAAAAACACATGGGACAAACAGTCAAACACACAAATACTTCATGAGAACACTCACAAAGAGCACTGCCTGCCACAACACCGATACACTCACACTGAACCAAAGCACCGGCCAACTCCAGCTCCTGACGTCACTTGCTCGGCCATGCCTTTTATCGGCAAGTGTCCAGATTCACACGCTGGCATTCATGTTGATGTAGTTTCTTTGTTTCCCAGAGGTCCGTGGACACGCTGCAGTTCCTCCTCTTCCTTCACATTCAACAGCTGAACCGAGTGTCCCTGCGTAAATCGCTCATTGGAGAGGAGTGGCCCAGCCATCGCACACGCTCTCCATCTCCATCAGAACGTGAGGCCAAGACCAGCTCCCAGAACAAGGTCATCCTCATGTACTTGAACACACTCACCCGTCACCACATTAGGTCCACTTAGAATATCAGATGATAGCCACCACAAGAGCTGGCAAGGCAAGTTAATTTGTATAGCATACTTCATGTACAAGACAGTTCAAAGTGCTTTACATAAAAAATCGAAAGCATTACAGAAAGACAAACAAAATACTAAGACATTACAGAAATCACAATAAAATCATATAAAATAATAAGATTCAAATTATTAAAACCAAGCATCGATGTAGATAAATTATAAGATACCGTGCAAATGAGAATTAAACAACAAAATAGATATACCCTTTACCAAAATTAGTAGAATGACATTTAGTGGCAGAGCGATTCTAATTGCATAATTTTATGGAAACACACTTCCTCCATGTGTCTGAATTTGGTCATTATGATTCATATATTATCTGGAAAAAATAAAGCACAATTTAAAATTAAATGTTTGCAAAAGTTGAATATAAATTCTAGGAGTTACCCCATTATCCAAACTCTCACCAAAATGGAATAAGGTCTTCCATGACCCAGCCCGTATTTCTGTTGCTCTTGTAACTGAGGAGTTTTGCGAGCACACGATATGAATAAACGTGGCCACAATCGATTGTTTATTTATTTTATGTGTTTTGGTTGTTCAGTAGAACTGGGACGACCAGGCCCACCTGTCCTTTGTGCAGAGCCACCTTGCGGAGCTTCTGGAGCTGCTGGTGGAGCCAAACCAGCTGTCTGAGTCTGGTAGGGTCCCGCGTGACTGTCAGGTGTGTGGACCACCCACTCGTGTTAGCTCACATCAGGTTACTGATCACTGACCTGTGGCCTGTCTGCTCCCAGATCTCACTGGAGGCCGTACACAGTCTGGGTCTGCTCCTGGAGGGCTGGGAGCACCCGGGCAGGCCTGTCCAACCTGTTCATAGGTTGTTGAGTAGAGGTCCGCTACAGATGCATGCAGGCTACTCTGCTCTCAGCCATTCCTTCCCTCTTCACCAGCTCATCTCCTGTCTTCAACATAACCTCACTCTCAATCCTTTTGGGATAACGTCCTGCCTGCGCTCCGGGAAGAAGCTAGCCTGGGCCCAACAAAGTACCCCAAATCTTAAAAAATACACAAATCTCCTCCTTCAAGCTTGTCTTTACTTTACCTTACCATTCTCTTTGTATCTAGTGGAAGGCGCTATGAAGCGTGCCAAGATAGCCCGAAACACTCACATGGCCCCAGCTGGGAGCAAGATGGTGCTCATGTCTCAGGTCTGTAAGCAGACCCTTGCCAAGACCTCTGACAAGATGACAGGAGCCAACATTAAGATCCACCGATGTGCTGACGCCTTCATCTACCTCCTCTCGCCTCTCAGGTTAATAATGTCCACTTGCAACTCTAAGGTCACAAGTCAGCTGCTTATAAGACTGGGAATTTGCAAAGCGAACTGTTCAGTGAATAAAATGCTACTTAGTATTTCTTTCACAATAGCTTTTATATGGTCCTTTTTGTTTGTAAATGAAGAAAAAAAAAACTACCTGTACATAACCTAATGTATAAAATAATTGAATATACAGTAGCCTACTGGAAAATGTATTTACACAAGTCGGTTGATAAAATGTGTTTTGTCTTCTGCTCCATCAATCTAGCACAGGGGTGGGCAATCCCAGTCCTGGAGGGCCGCTATCCTGCATGTTTTCCATCTGTCCCTGTTGCAACACACCTGATTTAATTGTTCAGGCCTCGACAGAGCTTGCTGATGATCTGATCATTTGAATCAGGTGTGTTGGAGAAGGGACAGATGGAAAACATGCAGGATAGCGGCCCTCCAGGACTGGGATTGCCCACCCCTGATCTAGCACAATACCAATTTGCAAGCTAATACAGCCAGCATATGTATGTATACATTTCAGGAGAACAATTTTCACAGATGTAAGCTGTTGTGGGAAAAAAAAGCAATATTTTTTGAAGTCTTGAATAGAACACGATCTTGAAAATTTGTTTATCGTGGATTTTAGTATGATGGATGGACACACTCTTTTCGCCCATTTTTGTGGCTGTCAAATTTGATTTGAGCAAAATGCATTAGTTGTAATCAGAAACTGTAATCTCATCCCAGGCTGAAACTGGATTTTGTTCGGATTACAATTAAAGTCCCATTTAAAAATATCTGATACAGTCTATCAGATCTCAGTCAATTTTAGTCAAAACAGTTGTGTGTCCACACAGTCAGATACTGTAACGTCAAGTCAAGTTCTATCTGGATCTGAGACAGATTGCATGTTCACAACATGCACTTCTTTCTCAGTCTAATGTCATTCATTCATTTGTTGTCTGAACCACTTATCCTCATCAGGGCGTGCTGGAGCCTATCGTAGCAGTTTTAGGTCAGGGTGTAACCTGGACTGGTCGCCAGCCAATCACAGGGCACAAGTAGACAAACAACCATTCACACTCACAAAAACACCGAAATACAATTTAGTCTTAATCTTCAACCTGAGTCAAATCTTTTTTTGTCTCAGTGTGATGAGTAGATAATCCAGACCTGATTCGGATTTTATATTTGGCAGCAAAATTTGGTTGAATGTATGAAAAAATACTTATTTCCGTTGAATCTTAATCAGTTTGAATAAAAACTGTTTTTTGTCCACACAGTCACAAGATGCAGTGTATTGTATAATCCAGACTTGATTCTAATTTAACATTTTGGTCTTTTTCCCCAGGTCGGTTAGTGTGGACAAGTGCAGGGATTGCACAGTGGTTCTAGGTCCAGTGGAGACCAGTGTGCATGTGAATTGCTGCCAGAACATGCGCGTGGTGTGCGCGGCGGGCAGGTTTGTCATCGGAGCCTCATCCCGCTGCACGCTCCACGCCATGACGCCCACACGCCCTCTGCTCCTGCCCGGAAACACTGACATCACCCTGGGCCCCTTCCACACCTTCTATCCCTCCCTGGAGGACCACATGGCCAGCGTGGGGCTGGCGGTGGTACCCAACATGTGGGACCAGCCGCTGCTGCTGGGGACCGACCCGGTCAAGCCCTCCACTAACCCCGACCCCGCTTGCTACCGTCTCCTGCCCCCAGAGGAGTTCCACATGCTGGTAGTGCCTTTCCACATGAAGGGGGACACGTGCGAAGTGCCGGGGGGGTTTGCGACCCGCTATCAGGCAGCAATCGAGGACAAGCAGAAGAGGATACAAAGATGGCAAAAGACTGTCCTGGAGGCCCAGTTGAACAAGTGAGTGCCCTGTCAAATGTAGATGGGCTTTCAGTTCAATATTCGTCACCCACCATGAGGAAAACAAATAATTAATTTGTCAAAAAATAACTTATTTATTTCTATTTCAATAATCTGCCCCTGGCCAGGTGTGTAACACTGCCACTTCCCCAAAGTAAAACCCTTTTGAGGATGCGCGGTATAGAAGATGGACGTGTGGGTTATTTATTTATTTATTTAAGCTTTTTTTTTTTTTTTTTAATGGCCTTGTAACATAAGGGAAAAAAACGCCATCACAAACGACTTGCAAAACGATATAGCCTCTGTTGGCTGTAGTGTAGTATAGTATTTTGCATCAATTACTTCAAGAGACGATTAAGTGACTCATTGAGTATTATTCTTCTATCTAGGGGCAAACTTCACAACTGATTTTCACATTCATTTTTTTAACACTTTAGAATATAATGTTAGCGTATCAAGATACGAAACGATTTCAATTGTTTTGTTTTGTTTTTTTTTAACTCCAATTTCTTGACCAATTTGTGACGTACATTTCACGGGGAATAATAATGTATACTTGTGCAATATAGCTCTAGGCAGAATTCATAATTCAGAATTAGAGTGTGGCAAATGCCAGTCAATATAAATGGCAAACTATCTCCCAAAATAAATTGCTCCAAAATAAAACTATAAAAATTGTGTTGTAAGTTTGCCTGAAGGTATTTTTTTTTTCATTTGAAGCGCTTGCGCTGTAAATAAACATGAACATATATTTTTGAAAGACAGAAAAATGGCACTAACTGCCAGTGGATCACCTCCTATACACTTAAAATAGAGTCGTAAATGCTGTAAGATGTACATTAAACACCAAACAAAGAAGTTACCATACACAGACTGTGTGGTGGCTGTATTTTTCCATCGCATGACTGTAGTGTTTGAATGGAGAATTGAAGCCAACAGTCAATAACAAGGTTAGCTAATGTGAATGGTCGGTCACAGTAGTGTGTCACTATTGCTCGAGGGACTTGACACTCACTGTAACCCTGACTGGACAGTGTAAGAACAATCCAATGTTTTAATATGCACAACTACACTGGCCACAACCTACACTTCTAATGACATAACTTTTACAATGATAATGACAGTGTCACTCAGTAGACTGCACCCATCCACCAAGGCCAAACAGTCCAAAGCATGGTCTTCTCACACTTTGACCAAAAGTCCTAATTACACACGATATTTGCGTGAAAAGCACTTCAACAAAAGAAACCAAATACAGTGATCCCTCGCTACTTCACGGTTCGTTTATCGCGGGTTCAGTGCATCGGATTTTTTCAAACATATATAAAAATATATATATATTTTTTTTACCTGTTTATGTTAATTGGACGCTACTTTGCGGATTTTCGTTTATCGTGGGTGGTTTTGGTCCCCATTAACCGCGATAAACGAGGGATTACTGTACAACATTAACTGAGCGTGTCTATTCGTGAGTGAAGATGTTTTCTTACGCAGAAGTGGGCATTTTACGAAATGTTGTCGGTCCGTCAGCGGATTGGGCACCCACCCGTCAGTCTGTCATTTTGTGAAGCCGAACCAAACTATAATCGTCAGTCTATCTGTGCGCCAGGTTATTTTAACCGCACTTCTGTCAGTAAATTTCACCGGTCTGACAGTCCATCTATCGTCAGTCGTTCATCCGGTCGCACTAGCAAGTGTGCACGCTTTAATGCTCTTGCTGGTACTTGGGGAATGAGGGGTGGAGTGGGGTGGGGATACAGCATCCCTCACATTCGTCGAGAGACAAAGTGCATTCAGTTACAGTCGGACATTTCAAACTCAAACAGAAAAAAGTTCATTAATGCATGAACCGTTAATAACTACACAAAAGTGTAATAAATTAAACTAACAAAGAGCTAGCTTCTTTTGGTCACTTCTAAAATGTGTTCTGTATTCGTTCTGTAGGGAGCAGAAGTGCAAGTTCCAGGAACTGGTGGAGGCCAAGTTCCACGACTGGCTCTTGGAGACGGGACACAGGCAGGAACTGGACAGCCTGATCCCGCCCCCCGAGTCCTCCTTGCAGGTCTCCAATGGCGCCCTGGTGAACGAGACGACGGTGAACGAGACGACGGCGAACGACTCGTGCATTAAGACAGGAGGAGCGGTGGGACATTCGCCTATGGCTTGTTGAGTTGTTGACCTCTCACCTTTGTGGTATTTATTTCAGTTGAAGAAGTTGATACGGACATTCATGGCAAAAAATGTAGGGATTAAACTTGAATCCAAGGCTCCTTTGTTGTTGGAATGTGTTAACGACAGGTCACTTGTATTGACGCTATTTTCTGCATTCAAACTAATGAAGGGAAAACCAGTAAATTCTGCAGTTTACATGAATTACATAAAGATGAGCCCTGATTTGAGAACAGACCTCCACCAAAATCTGAAATCCTTTAATGCACAAATGCTCCAAATATGAACGATTTTTAATACATTTGACGTTTCTTGTGACCATCAGAGAACTTTAAAATGTAAAATGGTTGATAAGAAAATGTTTTCCCATCCTTGATTTAGTTGATACTCCCTTGCATGTCTGAATGTTAACGTTAGGATTAATGTATTACTGAATAATTCTACTACTGCAGTTCGTGTGGATTGTCATACTCTATCAATGAGATCACTTTTTTCCCCCTCATCATGGGGAAAGTAGTTCCTTATTGTGAGTGCGACTGTCTTCGCTCATTCACCAACCAACCACGTGTGCTTCAAAGTATATTTTTCTGTCAGTCACTGGAATTAACATGTATATTATATTTTTGTACTCATCCTAACGGCCACCTTGTTTGCACTTCATACCTTTGATATGTCAAGGTTAGCTTCCTCTGTACATAGTGAGCCATTAAAAAAAAAACCTGTCATATTATTGCTTACATTGTTGTTTCTCGAAAACAATGAATGTATGCTGCTGTCACACTTCCATGCAGCTTTTAAACATGTATTATGCTTGCTCTTAAAAAAAAAAGAAATAATAATAATAAAGATGCTCACTTCAGTGTACCAGTCTTGTGCTCTTTTCAAATTTGGAATTATACACATCTGTTTGAATTGTTTGTAAATTATATACCATAATTAAATGGTGCCACGGAGCAGTATCTGGATGCATCCACAAGGCAGAAATAAGTCCTGAGTTGGCAGCTCATCCCTCGCCAGGTGGGGGCAACCCGGCGTAGCTGGCACATGAAATTATGGTGAGGGGAGGGCAGGCACTGGACGCAGCCAGTGGACAAGTGGGGTCATTGGACGCTTACCATGCCCGGCATTCATTATGCCATAATCCTTCCTCGCTTTTCTGGAAAAACTGAATAGCGCTAGAATCACTGACTCAATTTTTGGATCTCATTTTCATGACAAAGCGATTGTTCCTCTGTTTGCCTCCCACTGTTGGCGCTCCCCAACGTGGCGAGGCAGGGCTATAAAAGGGAGCGCTCAAGGTCTCAGTGCAACATCGAGACCTCAGGGCAAACACCGACCACTGCTGCCACCTTCGCATCATCGAGCCTGCGTCGCAACAAATATCCAAGATGGGCAGGGTGAGTTTAGGCAAAGCTACATGAAAAATTTTGCTGTTTTCGTCTGGCTTCCCAACTACTCGGCCTTGGGATTGAACACCTCTAAATTCAAATGTAATTCTTGGCTGGACAGGCAACTTTGTAGTCTATCTTGGAGATGCCGTTGGAGGCATAGTGATTCCCATAGCTGAGTTTCGTGCTCATGGCATGGAATCTATTTCCAGTCAATGCGATTCCAACTGGTCCATGGTGTAGTCTGTCTTTCTCACCAAGTCAGGTGGAACTGAAGATTCCACTGGTAGTGTAGTGATTCTCACAGCTGGCATGGAATCCATTTCTATGAGAGTCGGACTGGTGGTTCCAACTGAATTCCCTGCGTTTGACTGGCACTCAATCCAGGCCGTGGTCTATCGCCTCTTGCCTTCAATCAGCTCATGCAGAGAATTCCATTGGCAGTGTAGTGGTTCGGGTCATCTGCTATGACCATAACACAGGATAAGCGGTAGAAAATTGATGGAATTCTTCATTGGACAGGCAAATCGTGGGGAGGATATTAAAATCATATTCTGATTCGATGGAAGAAAATGTTCTACTGTCCCATCCTGCAGATTGTCTTCTATGAGGACAAGAACTTCCAGGGCCGCCGGTACGAGTGCGACAGCGACTGTTCCGACTTCCACACTTACTTGAGTCGCTGCAACTCCATCCGCGTGGAGAGCGGTGCTTGGGTGGTATACGAGAGACCCAACTTCCTGGGCTATCAATACGTCCTGACCCGGGGCGAGTACCCCGAGTACCAGCGCTGGATGGGCCTCAACGACCGCCTGAGTTCCTGCAAGATGATCCACTTTGTAAGTCCAAGCCCGATTGTTGTGCCCACGTTCACTTGGAGGACTTGAGTGTTGAAAGAGGCGATTGTATTGATGCCGCATGGTACGAATACTTTTTTTCAACCTCGGCAAGATTTTGGTTGATCACTACTTTACGAGTAGTGTTTGATGTTGTCAGGTCCAAGAGTGACTCATAGCAAAAAATGTGTCTTGTGCCAGCCTAAAAACAACCAACTTCTGACTTTCAAAAACTCAAATACAGTGATTGCACTCATATTTGCAAATTCACCTATGTCACGGTATTGCTTTGTTGCCATCTTGTTACCACAGAACCATGGTGAAGTGAGCTGAGGAGTTTCATGTTTTGATTTGCCGCCATTTTGTAGGACCTTGGTGCCAAGGAACTTTATTGCAGTGAATGTAGGAGCTTTATGTAGTCCTTTGCCACCATCTTCTGGAAACGTACCCAATTATGTAACTTTTTAGGATGTAGTCAATTACCATTACAGTACTTACAAATGTTTGCAATTCGTGGCAGGGTTTGTTTTAATAGTGTAGCCAACACCAGCAGCAACTGACATATAATTCAGTATGCGTATTTCATATTGACAGTAAAAATCAATTTTTACTTTTCAGCTGACAGGACATTTTTGTGCATTAGTGGTGAAGTGGTACATGCAGTGGCCTTTTATGCAATAGGTTCAATTGCCAGCCAGTGCCCCAACACCCAACCAGCCCTAAGTCCCCAAAAATCATGGGTGGGTTACATTGCAGCAAGGGCATCCTGCGTAAAATCTGCACCGGATGAAAAATGCGAGTAACTGCTATGGCAACCCCTGATGAGACAAGCCAAAATTTGCAGCATTTAAATTTGTACTTTTACTACTTCTACTAAAGTACAAGAGTGAAATCAATACTTCTACTTTTACGAAAATCTTGTTTTGCACATGTCACTGTATCTCTATTTAGTGCAGCTTGTGAACATATTTGTCCTGCTAAAGCAATGCCCGCAGCTGCGTTCATAGTTACCAGCAGTCATTGACCTCCCCAGAAATCAATCTACCTGTACTTTGACAGGACCCATATACAACTGATTGTGGATCTCCAGGCAAAAAGCGAATCTAAGCCTCCCCAAATGACATCCAAACCCAGTTTGAGTTGCCCTTCCGAGTCGTTTCCCTGACTATCCCCGTTCCTTCCATCATTGCAGACAAGCGGGGGCGTCTACAAGATGCAGTTGTACGAGAAGGCCGAGTTTGGGGGCAAGGCTTTCGAGGCCACGGAGGACTGCCCCTCGCTCCTGGAAAAATTCCGCTGGAGGGAGGTGAACTCATGCAAGGTTTTCGACGGCTGGTGGGTGTTCTACGAGCACCCCAACTACCGCGGCCGTCAGTACTTCCTGGAGAAGGGCGAGTACCACAAGCCCGGCGACTGGGGCGCGGCCAGTGCTGCGGTCCAATCCTTCAGGCGCCTCACTGAATGAGTCGCCGACCCATGGCCACTCCCCACCCCACGCAATCGACACGATGCTACGTGATGATCCGTGACAGGAAATGAGAAGATTTTCAACTGAGGTCAACAAAATAAAAGCCTGTCCAGAAAGCAGACAAAGACGTCTCTAATTTTGAAGTTTCTGTAGTTTTGCAAACATTCAAAAAGTTGGGCTTGTGTACTGTATGTTTTTCGATGAGTATTCAACGTGAATGGAAACCAGTCCAGGGTGTAGTTTGTATGCAAGTCAAAAGGGACAGAAAATGCATTTGCGAGAGTAGTGCTTCACGTAGTTGACTTTTACGTTGATGACTTGATGTGGCGTGATGTGGTTTACAAATCTAATTTGAAAACCCAACTATACAGTTAAACCTCAACCTTGCCTTGAAACTCTACCCTTGGCTTTCCACCCTGATTTGGAACCCCGATCTATATTTGAAACTTTAATGTGAAATCCCCAGCCTAATCCCAAACCTTACATGAAATTTTTTGAGACCCTAACCCTAACCTTAGAAATGCCAATTTGAACTGGAAATCTTAACCCTGGTTTGAAAACATAACCTTGTCTTGAAACCCGAATCTGAAACTACTTCGAAACCTTAACTGTGCCTTGAAACCTCAGTTGATAAAACTAATTTCATGTAATGCAGCTTTAAAACCATAACCTTAGCTTGAAACGTCAATTTGAAACCCTACTTTGAAACCTTAGACAGATTCCCTTATCCTGTTTTAAACTCTCCTTTGAGACCTGGAATTAAAACCCTGATACGAAACCCTAATCCTTGTTTAAAACTGTAACCCAGGCTAGAAACCTGAACCCCGGCTTGAAGATGGGGCTACGATCCAAGGCAAGAAGTAACACGTTTGAACGGAGGTTGAGAAAATGAAAGAAATAAAAGTCTCCCCAGAAAGGACAGTGAGATGTCTCTGATTGTTTGTGTACACATTTTTGCAAACCGGCAAGTTAGATGACAAACTCTTGCCTGGTCACATCGGAACCCCTTAAAGTCAGTTCGGTTTCTGTCAGTGCCGGGCTGAGATCCACGGTGACAAGTTGAGGGTTGAAATGAGTCCCAAAGGAGAAACAGTTGCCTCCTCCGCCAATCAGGATCAGCTCCGCTTCCTTTTGGACCATCAGCTCGGAGCAGAACGAGTGCAACATTAGAGGCCACGGCACTGAGGCCTAACGGCAGGAGAAGCACCAGTGAGATTCCCGACAAGTCTATGCGATGAAATCAGGTTTGAAGCAATTTGAACTGACCGTGATCAGACGGAACTCGACGCTGCAGCGCCTGGAAAGGTTGATCAGGGCCACCCCGGGCACGCTGTCTGAATGCAGCCAAACTCCGCCCACCACAATCAGGTGATCGCCAATCACATGGGCGCAGTGCGAATATCTACAGTACAGTACAGTTTGCTCAGAATTTTCAAAAATGTGCTTTACATTTGCTTTATCCTCCTGGGACCTGGCGTCCACATGTGTGGACATGACGTTTTGGGTTGTCAAGACTACAATGTTAAATTTTGGACTACAAGGGCCTGGCGTCCACTTACGAGGACGTTACATCATGTAAAAAGATTATTCTTTGTTTTTACACTCATCAGGTCCCAATTAGCCTAAATATCAAAGAGAAAATAAAAATCAAATAAAAATGCATGCCTTGCAAGAGTTCAGGTCTTAGGAGGTTAAATGTTCTATGTGCCTCCATTAGCATGGCATTCTGATAAATATTGTGTTTGTTGGATGCGGACTAAGCAGAAACATCGAAGTGGGTTTTTATCCATCTGAAGGGAAGGCCATTTTTCCACCAAAAATGGGGTTCAAGTAAGATCAGTTCTCAACATAAACAGTTCTGACGAACGTGTTCGGATTGGCGACCCAGTCCTGTCTCCCACACACGCTCTCTCTCTCTCTCACACACACATCTCCCTGATACTTTGCATACTCCACAGCATGTCTACTTGAGCAATGACGTCCCACGTCTGTCTTGAAGCACTGGTACTTTCTTTGTGCATTCAAGACATGCAACAAGAACAACAATCAGACAGACAAACTTCACCTGTTTTTCTTTAACCCTTTCATGCACCCTGTAATCTGATAACATGATAAACTGTCCACTGTACTAACCACGAGGGGTTAAATTGGCTGCTCTCATCGCCAACCTTAAGACAGCACTATTCTGATTGCTTACTAATTTCTGCCAAAATAAATTCAAGCAGTTTATTCCTCAGCTCCTCTGAGGTAGGAAGCTAATGCAAAGTTTTAGACGCTGTGCGTTGTCGCCATAAGCCATTTTTTGCTGAGTTGAATGGATGTGTACCAACCACAAGTGGGAATGTACTTGAATAATGACTCACAATTCCACGTCACAATGGCGCCAAATTCAAATACCCGTGTTGCTTACAGGTCTTTGCCTTTCAAAAGACATAAAAAAAAAA